TTCTACCGAGGCTCCCCAAGTGCCTTTATAGGGATTCGCCTCTCATAGCAATAAATCAAAACTAATTTTCTGCAAACAGTTGAATCATTAGCACTACAAAACGACGTCGGACCATCGGACTTTGAGATCCCGGAATAGAAATTGCAAAGATTTGCATCTCTCATTTTTGCTTCAATTGTCTATTGATTCCTTCATCTAACTTAGGTTCTGACTTCCGTGAATGTTGGATGTGTTTCTATAGTACATGCAGTGCTGAAAAGGAACCGTCCGTTTCGTTCCGAAGGGCCGTACCGCCGAATGCGCGGGGCACGGATACATGTAGACGCTCAAGTTAAGAGGACTGAATGTAGAATGTTGTTGAAGAAGAGATTTCCTCGCCCTCATTGTGTGATTGATCAACTGTCAGGTATACAGAACGAAGAAAAAATCGGAGACTTCTGTGGTTTTGATGAGTCACCGACTCGATGTGGCCCGCCACAACCACAAGGAAAGAGTGAGGTATCAACCTGATTCTAGGCAGAAGCCACTTGTATAAACACCGAGACATTCAGTTTCCCTTAACCTGATGACCTTCATTATCAGTATCTAAACGACTACTTTCGGCACTGGACCCTTTGGTCTAGGCCCCTATATATTCATTCACCTATGCTTGGATCAACCAGGACATTTTCAGACTGATGAAGTCTTAGCTTCTAAAGCGGAGTGCGGCGTAGACGTTTCCCCCAACATTGGTAGGTTCTCCCGGTGGCTGCTTTCTGCTGGGTTAATTGATTGAAACACATAGCTCTTGAAATCTGAAATACTGAGATCGTGGCATTCGTACCCCATCTTTGAACATTGTAAATTCACGTATACTAGCTCCAATTCTTAGAGCACGTAATGAGCGTGAAGGCTCGTATTCGGTAGTTGAAGCAAAATTCCCTTGTTACATAGTGGGCGACAGTCATAGACAACTTAAATTTGATTGAGTTGAATACCTCCAGTCTCCTAGATTTTGTGGAAATTCCTTCATCAACTGCAGTTCGAGGATCCACATTAGTTGCTGCTCTAAAACTATCCAGTCTACTATTTGTTAAAGCTCACAGGATTCTTCTCACGGCGTTCAAATTTCAGGCCTCGGGGAAATGTACAGGCAGAAAATTGGCGGCAGTTTCTGGAAGAGCACAGGAAGCCACGGTATAAACGTTGATCCCACAGGCCGCTCGGATATGAACAACTTCCGTCGGTATTCCGTTACACGTTTCTCAGTGAATTTATATACTGAAGGAAGCGCAGCTTCCTTTTAGCTGTCAGTGAGAATGATTTCTTTGTTATAACCATCCAACGGCAATTTGGGGAGATAATAGTAGTCAGCGTGTTCCCTATAAAACTTATCCTATGACGCGAGATAGATGCCGAGCTTCCGGACAGTGCTGCATCTTAGCTTGATAATTAAAGCATTTCATCCATCTGTTGTAGCATATCCTCGGGTTCTGAACACGAGTTGTGATGGATACCCCAGCTCTGAGAATGACTGCGGAATCAAACAAGCCCCTGGAACAACCATGAGCTGGGAATGATTTTTGACTTCGTTTGTCATGTATTCGCCTGCCGCCCATGACATTTTCTCAATCGTTTCCACACACCCCAGATCGCATATGTCCTGTCTACAATCCGAGAAATTTTTTATGGAACTCTAAGACCAAATCCTAGCACTAGTTGGGGAAAAACTTTGAAAATTGGTGATCGGTGGCGCCGCTAGTTTCAATGATTGTTGCATCGATGAATGCCTGTCATTCCGGATAAGTCGTTAAACGGTGTATACTTAGAAGGTACTGAATCTTTCCGAGGAGCGCAAAATATCTGCGTGCAATGTACCAAATACTTATATTCCATACTCATCTACCATCATTAGTTCATGCGAACTATCATTGTCAGAGCCTATCAAACCCATTGATTCAACATGCCAGAAAAAGTGTAGCACCGGAGTTTTGTTGAACTGCGTCAATCTAGAGTCCTAATAGAACAGAGCTTACTTAAGGATCTAAAGCTTTATTACCGAGCGAGATAGTTCCAGTAGGTAGGAAGACAGTCATTAATGAATCAACTCCTCCGAGAATTTCCCTGGGCCCCAAGTTTGGCTCTACGATTGGCATCCTTACTAGAGGAGCCACTATTGTTCCCACGTGGTCTAGAAAACAACGACCACCCCCAGGAACTAGAGGGTGGCGAGCCCCACGCCATATCCTCTGGGTCTAACATCTCTGCAACAATGGGTAACCGATGCTGATATTGAGAGCTCTGCCCGGATCCCTGCGATGAATCAGAACTATAAGTACATGTAATGAAACCGCAGAGAGAGAGCGCTATGTAATGATGCTTTGATACGCAGGGTGTTACGGTTCTTAGTTTCTCAGCTCACCTTGGATGGACTTTGTTTAGAGGGGGTATTACTCCTATCATCCCGGGAATCGACCTATAACAAGATAGGTAAGAAGCTGGATATCTGAATCAGCCGGAAAATCGCAGGACTGACGAGTGTCAAGGTCTCAGATTGTGAGTCATCTACTGGTAGCTGTCTTGATGTTGAAGATAACTATTTAGTAATATTAACGCTGACCTTTCGAATGGTGGTAGCAGATTACTGGACAGAATAGCTCACCTGCATATGATTTCTTCCTGGATTGGGACTAGCAACATATGATGATGACGGTGATAGTGAGTGATGCGAGCCGACAATATCCGACTTTTTCGAACTTTTGGATTTTGACGTCTTTTTTCAAAAGATAACGAAAAATGAAAAAGAAAAGAAAAGGGGGGTGGATTAAGGAGAGGCCGTTAGTAGACGTCTGGCATGTTAGAAGTCGGAAGATAATAAAATGCGACACTTACCATGGTGCTGTTATACAATTGGGGGAAAGTTAATGGGTGGTTTAGTTTGTCACTACGTCAGTTCTTCTGTTGAGTCGCAATTGATGTTATGAGGCCGAACGTTTATTGACTAGCAGACAGCGGAGGCCTCGAATGAGAGGGATCAAGCAGGTGGACAGATAGATGGTCCGCAACCTTTTATTGCTTATTTTTATACATCTTAACCCCCACCGCGACCCAGACTGACGGACACCGAAGCCAAAGGAAAAGCGAGACGGAACAGTGGGTCCACGTGAGGCCAATCGTATCAGTGACGAGTCCCACAAGGCTCAAAGCGGGAATTCTTACAAAGAACTGTAGTTTCACGTAGGACGGGGGTCACGTTCTTCCGAGGAACTTGGATCTAGTTCAGTAAGCTGCCAGGGGAATTGAATATGATATCTAATACTGGACCAAGGACTTATTTAATAAATGATGGATGTACTGAATGGAAGGATATCTATATTTAATCATCGAGCATATGCGCAGCGTCACTGGGCACGAGGTCACTGCCTGGACTTCGTGAACTTGTGCAAAAGAAAATGGTCCTGGGTTTATGTGTGTATAAGTGTTTGCATAAGTTCTTATGGACCTTAAGGTTTTTATGAGATTACTTATTTGGTTCAGGAACTTGAATCAGCGGTGAGCCGCTGCGGGAACAATCAATTCAGAACAGTAACCCGTCAAGAAGTGACTTTCTCAATACTACTTTTTTCTTTGGCACACCTATCCGAACTGAGCGAAGGTTACTTCATTTCTTACGGCTGACTGATCCGCTCTACGCCATTTCAAGTCTAACCGTTGTTGATTACTTTGACTGGTACACAAGATACCAGGGTCCATGACTAGGAGGTAAGTACCGAACTTGAGGATTTTTTCAGTTCGCCGACAATCTTACATCTCATGCGCGTTCCATTCAAAAGACGTTCAGGTACCAGATAATATGCTGTATTGTACAGAACTTCTAGAGACCGTACGATATTCATATTATGCACAAGTACAACATACATCAGAAATTTTGGAAGATCTCGAGTGTTCAGAATTCGGAGCTGTTCAGTTACTTAGCGATAACAGGCGTTAGGAACGCACAGGGTAACTCCTGTTACCATTGATATTGCCAGCATATTGGAGGGACCGAGGTTAAGGTTGTATCTCAGGCGGGAGTAGAAAGCCGTCTGGGTAGAAATACACTACTCGCTGGATTGTTTTGGAAGGGATATTGTTGTTAAAAGCTATGTATTATTCTTTGGTGAACTACTCCGAGTTTAAGTCAGGACCTAAGTTTGAGTTGGGAGTCTAATAATACGTTCAATTTATCAATTCGAAGGTCACAAGTCTGAACCTGGGTGTATTCTTTTTTGGAGTCAATAAATCTGAATCCAGAGTGGGCTTACTCATGATAAGAATTTTAATAGCACATCATACGCACGGCAGAAATATCGGGCTGACTTCTCAATTAACGAATGCCAAGTTTTATCTGTCTTCCGTTCTGTTTTAAAATTTCGATGTTTCTTGTATCCATCATTATATTACTATAGAAGCCTGGTAAGAATTCATAGGTGTGTTACACACAATTCAATCTATAAGTCTCTGAAATGCTCTTGGATATTTGCTGTAGAGACTGACTTAAAGTTTGAAATGCTGTTGTTTGTTTATAACTAACAAAAAAAAATTCATTCTTGAGTGAGGAAGTGATCAGTACTACCTCTGAGTGAAAAAGTGTTAGCAAAGGCGTTCCAAAACAATGCTATGAATCATCTCTTTCTTCCCAGTTCAACTCACATATTTTGAGTCAATATATGTAACCACACAGATAATCTGGGATTCTGTGAAGGAGATGGATTGTCATAAGCGGCATGCTTACAATACAGTTGACGAATGGAGAAGAAAAATGCTGCTTTTGCTTGAAAGAAAACACTTACATGAAGATTATCTTCAAAGAAGCTTTATATGAAATTTGTATGAGTAAATTGGAAAAGTATGAAATTGTTCTTCCCACTCCAAGTTGTTGCATCAGGTTCCTGAGTTATGAGATAGGATACTAATTTTTGAAACTCAAAATTCAGACAGGAATTTGTGCTGTGTCAAGTGATCTTGGGGTAAATAGTGCTTGAACCAACTGAGGATTGACCCTAGGACCTTAGCAATTCTAGCGACCATGCTCTAACCAACTGAGCTATTTAGTCCATTGAATGTCAATCAGATGATGGTTGGCATGAGCAAAGGATTTCACTAGGGAATTTTATTTGTTATTTTTACGTCTTTCAAGTAAGTAACCTTCTGAGTTTCTGGCTCCAATCATAAAGTTTAGTCCTGAGTAATTTCTGTTCAATTCTGCTGCACTTCTGGATATCACTAAAGTTTCAGAAATCTGATCCTGTGAAGTAGAAGCTGGCAATCCTAGTATACAAGCATTTAATAAAATGCTGAGTTCCACATTGTAAGTTTATGCAGCATTTTCTTTTCCTTTTTTAAAAAATTAATTTTTTTATTTTCAAAGTGCTTGTGCGCTAGACAAGCAGATTTTTCAATATTGTTGAATTATTCACTCCCTAATAGGTTACCGGATCGCAGCTCACTATAATGAGTGATAGATAGTTTTGATCTTGTCTTTCAAAAAGATTTGAATATCCCACTTGCATGATAAACTTATCTGTGATTAATTGAGTCGAGTATAATTACACTTATCTTATCGTTCAAACTTGCTTTCTCCAAGATTGTAATCCCTGCGGCACTGTCAGTTGTAACGAGCCTGGCGCGCGAAACTGAGTTTGACTCCCAGCCAGGGAGTAATATGCCAATTTCACGTTGGTATGACATAACCTATTGAGCTTGAGCAAATGGTACTTGTGAACGGATAGTCGGGGGTTAAGTATCACTATAGAGCCCAGCCTAGACTTGAAATTATCGATTTCTATCAAATTGCCGCAGAAAACGTCCAGTCCCATTTCAATTGACTAAGCTTTCCACCGCCACCGTGTGTAGAGAAACCAGCTGATTCGAACTTTTATTCAAATGAGGGTTCAAAGTATGTACGTACGTCAAGCACGTTGTAGCGGTAGGAGCATCTGATGTCAGGCCGGTTCCATACTATAGAAAATTCGCTAGAAGTTCTTGTACGCATGTTGGGGTAAAGCTTGGCGCCGCAAATGAATGGATAGTGTGGTCAACTGGTAAGTACTTGGATAAAATGCGTGGCGTTCGGAGAGGAATATTGAGGAATGGATAAGCAAGGGTGATGAATAGTGTGTTCAACTCCCTGGTAGTATATCGGTTAGTACACGCGCCTGTCATTCCAAAATTTCGCTGAGAAACGCGCGAAAGCTGGGTTCGACTCCCAGCCAGGGAGCTGAAGCGCTGAAGTCGATCGCTTTTTAACCAAGCTGTATCGATCACGGAAACTGCACGGAAGTTCGTTTTACCCTGGACCGTCAGTAGCCCCTAATTTACGTAATAAGCAAAAAAGATCTCCGCCGCGGCAAAATTGCCGCTGTAATCTTGTTCCTTCTTTCTCCCTGCTCGCTGCGATAAGCAGAGTCAAATTGCGACATGGATTCCAACAAAAACAGTTTATTTCGCTATCCCGCTGGTCCGTTTGAACGGAATGGATTGAGTGGAGATAGCATAGATGGACGGAACAAGGGAGTGCATCGTCACCTGACAGCCATTCCAAAAAACTACTTATCTTGGAGGGTTTCTTCTATCAATCCTACTCTATTCTGATCCTTCCTTCCATCTCAGAATGCCAAACGACATCCCCGGTACTGCGACAACGATCAAACGTTCCCCTCCGTTGTCCATCCCTACATCCTTTGCTCATCCTCTCGATCCTCTTACTCCAGATGAGATATCTGCTGTTTCCCTGGCCGTTCGACATCACGTCGCTGCGAATGAAGCTATCAAAGCCGTGAGATTCATTACGTGTTATCTCGTTCCCCCTCCAAAACGTGCTGTTTTGGCCTATCTTGGGATTCCTATCGAGCCGGGCAAGGAGCCAGAACCAAAGGTAGACATTGTTAGGAGGGCTGAAGTTGATGTACGTTCTAGTCGTCATGCCTTTTCATATACATACTCATTCTTTTGCTTCTAGTTCCTCGACATCATCACCGGTACAAACTACAACGTCTACCTCTCCCTTGACACTGCCCAAGGGATATGGACCGTTGACACCCTAAAACCTCTCCCATCCGGTGTCCAACCCCAAATCTCTGTCGAAGAACTCATTGCTGCAGAACGTATAGTCAAAGCCGATCCCACCGTCCGACGTCTTGCTGCAGAGGTCGGAGTGAAACCCCATGAAATCTACTGCGATGGCTGGAGTATCGGGTTCGATGATCGCTTCCCTCAAGCTAGGAGGGTCCAGCAGGGTCTGGTGTTTGCGAGGTTTAGCGAGCATGATAATTTGTACGCTCATCCAATGGATTTTGTCCCGATTGTGGATGCAAATGAGGAAAAGGTTTTGCATGTCGATTTTCCACCGAGGTGGTATAAGATTAACGAGGAAGGAAAGAAAGGTGGATTGGAGATACCAGAATTGGGTGTCAAACTTAGTGTAGACAAGACGGGACCTTTGCCTCCTTTGCCCAATTCTTTGGATGAGGCAGTGTCGGAAGCAGCCCTCAACGGGTTGGCAGGCAGGGATAGAATTCCGCCGCCAAGAAAGGCGTTTGATTTCTTGCCAGAGCTGATGGTAGACACTGAAGACCACGTCAAAGACAAGGACGATACCACCAAACCCTGGCAACAACGCACCGACCTTAAACCTCTCCAAATCCTCCAACCCCAAGGTGTCAGCTTCAAAATGTCGGGTCATCAACTCGAATGGCAGGGTTGGAAGATGCATGTCGCGTTTTCTCATCGCGAAGGCACCGTTCTCTCTACCATCACCTACCGAGATTACCTCACTGGCCAGATTCATCCTATTCTCTATCGCCTCTCTCTCGCCGAAATGGTCGTTCCTTACGGATCACCAGAGTCTCCCCATCCTAGAAAGTTTGCTTTTGATTCGGGAGAGTACGGGATGGGAACGATGGCTAACGAATTGAGCCTCGGATGTGATTGTTTAGGAGAAATCAAGTACCTTCCTGGAACGTATACTTCGCATTCTGGTAATCCGGTGGTTATTGAAAACGTTATCTGCATACATGAGGAGGATTCTGGTGTGCTTTGGAAGCATACAGATTTCAGGCCAGGAGGAAAGAGTAAGACGGTGAGGAGGCGGAGGTTGGTTGTCAGTATGGTCTGTACGTTGGCTAATTACGGTAAGGTTTACGTTCATTTTTCCTCTTCGAATCATTGGCTTATACACGTCCACAGAATACATCTGGAACTACCAATTTTATCAAGACGGCTCAATCGAAATCGAATGTCGTCTCACCGGCATCCTCCAAGTATACGCTCAAGACCCATCCGAGCCAAATGTATTCGGAACGACAGTCGCCCCAGGTGTCAACGCTCAAAACCACCAACACATGTTTTCGTTCCGTCTAGATCCTATGATTGACGGTCTCTCGAATACCCTCGTCGAGTCTGACATACTTCCCCTCGCTTCGCTGAACCCAGAGTACGTCACTGGGTCGAAAGTCAACTTTGCTGGGAATGCTTTTGTCTCGCTCGATAAAAAGGTCGACGTGGCTTCACCAAGACCTTATGACTTGGAAAAGGAGAGAAGGTGGAGGATCGTCAATCCAGGAAGGAAACATAGCGCTTCTGGGAAAGAAGTTGGGTACGGGATTACAGGCCTCAAAGGCTGCGTTACGCCTATGATGGCGAGAGAAGACGGATGGGCATTGAGGAGGGCTGGGTTTACCGGTGCGCCTGTTTGGGTTGTTAAAGAAGTCGAGGGGGAGAACACTGTTATTGAAGAAGGTAAAGACAAGAAAGGGCAAGGAGAAGGTGAGGAAAGGATGAACAAGGTCAAGGGCGAAGGCTCCCTACGTATGTGGCCGGCAGGCAAATACGTCCCCCAGACTCGTGAGGCCCCTGCCGATTCGATCGGGAAATGGGCGAAAGGTACGGATAAGCTGGATACAGAAAAGGGAGAGGATATTTTGGTGTTTTTGACACTTGGAACGACACATATTCCGAGACCGGAGGATTGGCCTGTGATGCCTGCAGAGACGATGAGTGTTCATTTGAAACCGATGCACTTTTTCGATAGGAATCCGGCGATGGATGTTCCGGGGACGAAGGATGAAGTGAGTAGGGGAGCGAGGATGGATGGTGCAGAGGGACAATGTGGATGTAACTAGAGTGGAAAGGATGGATCCGGATTAAACGGATGACGACCGAACGATTTACGTATGTATCAATGCATCATCTCTCACAAGTATTTTCTTTCTCTTCTTCGTGTGCTCCTTAGCATCTCTGATAGACTCTCCATGGTCAACATTTTTGCGTTTGTGCTCGTAGCATCTGCATTTACCCTCAGTATATCATTGTCCATGTATCAAGCATGTATCTCTGCACTTAACAAACCCCTCTATCTTTCTATCTACCCAATATACTTGTATATGTATCGTTGGCAATACAATATTGCACTTGTGCTCAGCTGACAAGCGGCAGGAAAAAATCGTGAGCATGAGGTATACCGTAAGTATAGTGCACCCGTAATACAACTCTGCAGTCACACCTCAGATAAGCACCAGGAGATTGAAACATTTGTGCACTCTGGTTATTATTTTTTCTAACACTGGGTGCATGAATTCTGTAATTCCCCAGAACTGCAAAGGAAATACAACGAAAATACCACGGATCAGGAACGAGAGTCTGCTTCTTCCGAGGCTCCAAGTACCCCGATCTATAAGTAAACGCCTATGTCATCCCACTCCATTACCAGGTGAAAGAGCAGCTCAAAATAGACTTTAGCTATGACCCCAATTTATGCTGGCAACTGGATGAATTTGGGATAGCTCATCTTTTCTCGGATCCATCCAGCGGCTAAAGAAAACAATTTGAGTTGCAGATATCAAATAAGCATACAAAGTACCCAAAACACACAAACTGTTTTTACGATACAGTAACAGTTCTATAGCTGGGAATGGTTATATTGATAGATTTCTTACAAGAGACCGTACGTAACAGGTAGTATACTAGAGAAGAACATATCATTATATGACTGTAGATAAACAATGAGTTGTGGCGGGAAGCTGCTTTCGAATATGTAAAATAATCCCGGAGGTCTAGCCAAGCATGGCATATAATGCAAACATTTGGGGTTCAAGAAAGCCAGAAAAAGCTTTGCGGCCCCAATGAAAGAACTCAGACGACTGTTGAAAGCATGAAAAAGAAAACATTTGAAAGCACTCACGATGACCTCGGGGATGAAAACGCCGGATGATTGGTTCGGACTCGGAAATTATTAAAATGAATACTTCCAAGTGGTACCTGCTATCTTTGTATACAGGAAGAATAGAAGACTAGAATGAAACTTGCACAGGTGGACGCTGCCCTCGGGCATTAACCAGTTCACTTCTTTCCAGTCCTTGTCAAAACAAAGAGTCATAATGTCGGGTCGGATCCGGGATAAGTATCCGATAAGAGATACAAATGATTGGACACCCTGTGGGTGGTGCCTACCTTGATTTCTCAAAAAATTTTGTTCTAACCAGTAATAGATATATCAAAATTACATTTGGATTGTAAGCAGGGAGCCACTCAATTGGTATTCCTTGAAGCCCTCAATCCTAATCAAACAGAGGGCTAGATGACATCTGTTTATGGTTTTTTTCTTGCTAGGATTGAAATGGTAATAGTTGCATGAGCGAAGATGGTAGGCTGGTGCACAATTGAGGATATTACATGTTTCCAAGCACTTATTGATTATGTTAACTATAATTCAGCTGCTTTACGACTAACATCTCAAACTAAATACAACGGCTTGCTTTTGTAGGTCTAAGCTACTGATTCTGAATTAGCATTCGACGTAAAGTTGTCTCAAACAATCGGAGGGCTGCAATACACGTTCTATTCTTTTTCTTCTGCCTGGAAGTCTGATGAAGTAGTTCAAGAAATAAAAGAAGCAATTAAACCATCGTTTCGCTCCAGGCCTGACTTCCACTTATCCTACAACAAACCAGGTCCATACCTCGACGCTGCAGACATGATTGTGACACAGAATCCCGACTGCGGTCATATTTGAAGGTATTCATTGACCAGAAAGATGCGACTTATTGCTATGGCCAGACCGGCAACTGGTCAACGATGCCGAGATTCGGGGACGTCGACAACCAATTGAATACGTAGCTCCAACTTCTTACAGAACAGCTCCCGGGAATCGAAGGACTGGAGACCTGAAAATCAGATAAGGATCAATGGCACGTAACATATAAGAAGTACTGAAACTGTAGA